CTGAAGTCTGCCTCCTAGTAGTTGGCAGGCACTGTAGCAAATTGTGAGTTCTTGTGCCATCTAAATGGGCACCCAGATATTTCCATGTAGCTAGGGAGGCCCAGAATTGCCAGGTCTTCTAATCTTTCAAGAGAAGCTGGAAATTTTTATATGATATCACCTGTTTTTTAAAATATTGGTAAATTCAAAAAGAAAAGGTATACAGGTGAAACAAAATAATTTGCAGGCTGAGCTTGGCCCTTGGACAGCCTGTCTGCAACATTGTTGTTGGATCTTAGTTTCCCCTCTGGGAGCTGCTTAGAGTAAGTCCATGGCTTCAGTATTTCATTCATTCATTCATATGTCTATCCTTTCCTCCATTTGTTGTGTGACAACCATGAACCGGGCATTGTGCTAGACACTGGGGATATAGCCATAAATATGGCAAAGATCCCTTCCCGTGGAGAACTTTATGTCATTTCTGACTGTCATCTTTGTCTTGGCTGAGCATCCCCCATTTCCTCAAACCTGCTTTCCTGAGACAGCACTTTGAGACTCCCTATGCCCCCAGCATCCTGGAAGGTGCTCCAGTGTTTAAGTAGCACCCTAAGGGGCTGCTGCCCAGCATTGGATACCACCCACCTTCCCTCTCACATCTGCAGCTAGAATACCTCCCTCTTCCCTGTCTCTGCACCTGGTGCATTCTACCATTGCTAGAATTCTTTCACTAGCTATTAATTAACTGTTTTAAGTGCCTCTCTTTCTCCTTCTATGGTGATAACTTTTTGGTAGCAGGTGCTATGTCTTTTCTTTGTATCTCTGGGCCTGACATCATTCCTGATCTGCAGTAGGTCCTCAATAATATCTATTGGAGTGCATTGAAATGAAAAATAGTTTGACTTATGCAGTTCCTTGTCTGTCTGTCTGTCTGGTGGTGGTTTGATCTCTTTTGATAGCCAGGGTACAATAACTCTTTGAATTTAGATTAAACTAACAGCCCTTGGACAATATACCATGTGTAGAGTTTTAACCTGCATTGCAGGAGTTTTGTTCCCTTTTATGTCCAAATGTGAGTCTTTACTCTTACCAATATTCTAGCTAATCCTGTTTGAATTAACTAGTAATTTCAGGCATTTAAACTCTGTGAATCTCCATCAGTCTCCCAGTACCATAGCTCTCCTTCCCAGATACAAGCCTTCTGCAGACTTGGTTAGCATACACTAAAGATTCATTTAAGTCTTTGATGAATATATTCGACAGACCAGAGATAATATCAGAATCCTGTGACATACACTGGAGGTCTCTATCCAAGGATACATTGATTTATTACTCACCTCTCTTTGTGTTTGCTTCAAATCCATTTTCCTCTATCTTGATGCAAGGAGATTCTGAGAGATATTGATAAATGCTTTTGTTAAAATAAAGATGTGATGTGTCTGTTACATCCCCTCTTCTATTAAAATGTGAAGTTAATCAGTTCAGTCCTCTTTTTGTGAACTCATATTGGCCCCCAGAATCAGAGATTCTTTTTCCAGTGCTCACAAATAGGATAAGTTCTAAAATGTTATTATGTCATATCAAACTCACTTGTCTATAGTTTGGAGCGTTCCTTCTCCATCTTTTTAGACATTTGGGAAACTCTCCTAACTCTCGATTCTTGATGATTCCTCAAAGCTTAGCTTCATCTTTCAGGTACCATAGGAGGGACTTTCACATCGTTACTGATTACTGCAGTGGTTTTCATTAACAATTTATTTTTATATTTTGGGATCTAATTGAATTCACTTAAAACACCAGGTACTCTGTCCTAACCAATTTCCAGAAATAATAATCTATATGAAGAACACTTACACGTTTTCAGATATGATACATATGGGCCACAAAGATGACTCATGCCTACCATTTTATATCATTTTCGGGAGGAGAAAGGAATATATGTTAAGTACCTCATAAAAGTGTAGTAATATAGCAATAACATCGTCTCTAATGGTGCTTTTTACTTTTCAAGTAGTGGAATAACAAATACTTTGGAAAAATAACAAGTATTTTGTCCTCGTTTTAAAAACAATGCTATTATATGTAATCCCAAGTTAGGATCTAATGTATAACATCTGTGGAATAGTGAAATCCATCAGGGGTTTAGCTTATTAGATGTCTTGCCTTCTCTTTATTGCCATTTTTATAATTAGCACAGTGAGTTGCATCCTTGTACATTGAAAAGAAAGCTCTTGTTTCTTCCTCTGCTCACCCTCAGAACACTCCTCACACCAGATGTGTGGGTTTATTCCCACATGGAACAATTCTCTGACATCTGCTGGGTGTCCTATGGTTCAATTCACTTCTGATGCGGTCTACCTGGAGTTAGCGTCAGATCCCCCAGTTAAGGGCTCAGTCCTACAAGACTGCCCCCCATCTCAGGTGCCAGTTGCAAGTACTGGGTCCTTACGTTATTCACACTTATGTCCAACTTGCCTACAAATTGGGGGTTCCCACGAGCCCCTCCTCAGCGTTCAATAATTTGCTGTAATGGCACACGGAACTCAGGGAAACACTTACTTATGTTTACTGGTTTATTATCTAATGAAGGGTATGATAAAGGAGACAGATGAATAGCTGGATGAAGAGATGCATAGGGTGAGGTCTGGAGGGTCCTGAGTGCAGGAGCTTCTGTCCCCGTGGATTTGAAGTGCGCCACCCTCCCCACATGTGGATGTGTTCTCCAACCTGGAAGTTCTTCTAACTCCATATTTCAGGGATTTTTATGCAGGCTTCATCACATAGGCATGACCGATTGTTAACTCAATCTCTCTCACCTCTCCTCTCCTGGGAGGATGGGGCCTGGGGCTGAAAGTTCCAAGCTTCTAATCATGACTTGGTCTTTCTGGTGACCTGCCTCCATCCAGGAGCCCACCAAGAGTCACCTCATTGGAACAAAAGACACTTCTATCACCCAGGAAATTCCTAAGAACTGAGGAGCCCTGTGTCAGGAACCAGGGCCGAATACCAAATATTAGAACCAAGATGCTCCTAGTGCTCTTATCACTTAGGAAATTCCAAGGGATTTAAGAGCTCTGTGCCAGGAACTGGAGGCAGAGACCAAATATTAGAGCAAAAAAGTGCTCCTAGCACCTTTATTCCTTAGGAAATTAGAAAGGTTTTAGGATCTCTGACCAAGAGTTGGGCTGAAGACCGAAATGTATATTTCTTAGCATGTTTTGTGTGTGTGTGTGTATAAACACTTTTCTGGTTATTTCCTTATGGAAAATTCCCAGAAGTGGAATTTTTGGTCAGAGAATGTGCACTTTTTAAAGCCTTTGATACATATTGACAACCTAGAGACCTGCCGATTTGGACACCCACCTATGGGATGCAGGTTGCCTGTTTCTCTCATTGTCAAGGGTGTGTATCAAGTTTAAATGAATCACTTAGTTGGTCTGGAAAACTCAGCCCAATGAACTGGAAGACAGTGTAAAATCAACATCAGGGGGATTGGCTCTCCGGGGACTGCACCCAAGTTCTCCAAGGATAGGGACTTGGTCTTGCCCTTCTCATGTTTCCGCCATCCTGAGCTGTCTGACTTCCAGGCGCTCTCTCACCACGTGAGGGACCTCCTGTGCTGGAATAGGATGCTGTCCTCCCTTCTCCAGCTGGACCTGCTAGTCCCCTAGTTCACTGCCTGTTCCTCTTTCCCTCTGGATGAGTTATTTCACACCAGGACTTTGGGGTGTGTGTAGACTCATGGGTTGGCCAACACACAGCTGGCTTGAATCTAGCGTTGGAGTCCTGGAGTTTCCCACACAGCAGTTCATTTTTCTAGACTTGGTTAGGACTGTGATTAGTTCAGTGGGAGTGAAAATGGAGTCAATTAGTGACTGTGACATTTAGATTCATGTGTCCAAATAAAACTTGAGATGTTTAAAATTCTGTAGGTTAAAGCTGTGCATGAATCAAGCCAAGTATTTAGAATATGCACATGCCATCGCTGAAGTTGACTTTTACATTCTCAATTGTTTTGGCAAAGAGGAGGTGTTTCTGTAAGAGAAGCAGCTCAAGGGCATGAGAATAAAGAACTGGGATTACTGTTTTGATAAAATAGGCTGAAATAAAGATGACTATAGGGAATACCACTTAGGGTGTGTATGCTCCCCCAAAAGAACCCTACCCTATACAACTGTATTTTTTCTCTAACCCCACAGACTCAGTTGGGGACATTATGTCCCGTTATTAAATTTAAGGCAACCTTCCGAAGTCTCTCTGTTCTGCATTTCTATCAGGAAAGTATTTTTAAGATGCCGAACAACAAATTTCTTTTCTCTTTGTGGTTCTCTTTTTAGTTTCTTTGTCATAATCTTAGAATTCAGATTCTGAGATCTGTGGGAATTTATGTTAGGTAATAGTTAATCCAGATTCTGAAAAGCAATGCTTTCGCTCATCCTTTTAATTTCAGCTGCAGCTGCTAATGGCATGTAGACGCCCTGAAGATCTCCTGTGGGGTGGTAATTAACAGCGATTCCAGGTGCATAATCTGGAAATTTGGTTCCTGGTGGCACCATGGATGAGAGGACATGTTGTTCGGGCCTGGTTTGTCCCACACAGTCTCATGGTTTCTTTCTCATCTGCAGCGGCTGTGCTCTGACCCACAGCCCTGTGGACTTGCCTGGGAACACTCAGCTGCTTGGGAAGAGCCAGCAGTGAAAGCAGGAGTACTGGGGAACTGGTTTGCATTAGCCACGGACTGAGGGGAAAACAGATTCAGCACCTGTCTGCCTGCCTTCTTAGAGAGACCACAGAATTTTCTGAAATAAGGTTGTTTTGGATATGCAGTGATATCTGCAGATAGGAAAATTCTGAGATAGGCAAAAAGTGACACTCACATTGATAGAGTAACCCAATGTTGGGAGTCATTTAAAAATAACTCATCCAATAGCTTATCTTTCGAAATGATGGATTCCCTCTGCTTTCCTTGTGCTTATGTTCTGTTTGCAGCTAATTCAGTTTTTGTTTTTGTCTTTTTTTTACAGGCTCAACATATTTTTGACTGGCATGAACCCATTCTACTTTCACGCAGTAAATGTAATTTTACACTGCCTCGTGACTCTTGTGCTGATGTACACCTGTGACAAAACTGTCTTCAAGAATCGTGGGCTTGCTTTTGTGACGGCCTTGCTTTTTGCTGTGCATCCTATTCACACTGAGGCGGTGAGTATCATTGGCACACAATGAAATAATGAACCAGAAAAAAACCTCAACTAAACTGATCTTTTTTTCCCCTTTCAAAACCACGTGAACTCAAAGCTCTACTGAAGTGTTTATCTTTATATATAAATCATTCTGCTTGACAGCTTTTCTTTCTGAATATTCAAAAGAAAAGGCCTTTATTGCAGCTCCAGGATTTAATTGCTTTTCTAAATAACCACTGTTATTATTGTAGGTAGTAATAAATGGCCACGGTTCTTTATTTGCAGAAAATTTAAGTTCTAACGTGTTTTAAACACCAAGGGGCATTTTGAAATACTTATGCTGAGTCATTGTTCCTGCTCTACGTATATATTTTACCTTTTCTCACTCTACTTTATATTTATAATATTTATGATGCAGAACTCTAAGTGCTAGAGGGGAGACTATGAAAAGTTAGGCTGACATTCTTCAAGTTAGAAAAACAGACTTAGGAGACTTAAATGTAGTTTTCCAAGTTATTTAGTATGTGGAATAGTTATTTGGTGGGTGGTGATAAATTTGTTTAGAAATTTATTCGAATTATTTATTTAGATAGTTTAGATCTATGGTCCTTTTTACAAAATTGACTTCACCATGCACTGAGATGGCATTATCAAGCTACCTTGTTTCACATCTCAGTAAGCACAGTTGGTTTATTTTTTTATATTGCTAGAGATAGATGAGGACTTACCAAGGGGTCGGGGGTCACCACAGTTTCAAAAGAATTGTTTCCAGAGCCGATATCAGGTTATATCAGGGCCCTTTCCTCCAGTTCAGCTGTCTGGGAACACCTCTGGCTAAAGGTCTCAAGATGGCTCTCCTCTCCCTCCTCCTTCAGTTGCCCTTCTCTTCTTTAAAAAACATAAGGAATGTCTCACATGCATCAGAATCTTAATTGCCCCATGTGTACAGACCTCTAACTTACTTTACAAAGAAACAATTTGATATGTTGGTGTCAGCAAAGCCTCCTTCAATTAAGGTGTCATAAACCAGAAGTATGGTTTCTTCACCTCTTTCTCTGTCTTATGCATATTTCTGGGAAGAATACAGCATGGCATTGGAAGTAGGGTCTGGTGACCTGGTTGATGTTCTCAATTCAGATGTGAGATGGTTGTCATGGGGATGCATAATAATATGTTCATTTGGACTGACGCAAGAAGTCTGATTTGGCCAATTGGTTTGATAATGAGAACTGGTTTTGCCAGTTAGACTCTGTGATGGACATTTTCCACAAACAAAATTATAAATCTATAAGCCCAAGGTTTTGACACAAATATATTTAGAGTGAGTGATAAAAAAAAGAATCATTTTATAAAACAAATTACATTTTTAGAGGCAATTTTCACAGCCCCTTCTGAGTGTTTTAGACTAAACAGGTGCCTGTAAGTGCAACACTGTGAGCCGTGAGCAGTAGTTCTTTGGAAAGTCTTGGTAAAGCCTTCTTGTACTTTTGACAAACTGTGAAAGCAAATGACTCTGTTGACAGGTAACTCTAGCGATGGGTTTGCTTAAATTATTTGCTTTCAACCAAGTTAAAGGAGGACTTGATTGAGTTGTCAGCTGGTAGATCACTAAACATTGTGTCAGATGATAGAGCGCTATGATTTTGCAGATAACTTTGGTGTTCAGAGAGCTAAGTCACTGCTACAACATGGCTACTTCTGTTCTCACTTATTAATGTGAAGAGTCTATAAAGACGAAAGCTAGGAATAGAATTGATGCTACATGCTTTCTTATTCTAACAAAAAGTGATATTCAGCCATAGATAACTGAACTTATTAAAAAGAAACCTGCCATACCAGTGTTATTAAGAGGCATGTTTTTATATTTAATAGTTATTTATCATTTTTTCTAATTTATGATGTATTGAACAATTGTGTATTAATACTAATTGGAATAATAATACAACGTTGAAAATTTAACATTTAGAAGCTTATCACAGGAAATTAAAATAATAAATTTAATAATGTGTGTATTTTTATACAGAGAGACAAGATGATAAATAGAATGTTTCTAAGCATAACTGTATAATATGTTAAGGAAAAATGCCAAGGGGGAAATAAAATGGAAATATGAGTTCAAGGGGAAAGGGTGTAAAATGTCTGCCAGTTAAAGAAGAGCCGGTTCATGTTTGTGTAAATGGAAAGTGACGTGCTTCAAATTGCTGTGGTACATTTTAGACTCCATTTAATACATGTAAAAAGTAACATTATGGCCTTATTTTAAATTGTCAGTATTTACAATGCATGGGAAGTTAGATCCTTTCAAATATTTAAAATTATGATGAAAAATTTTAGATGTGAATTTTAAAAGATGGCAGAGATACATAAGTTTTTAATATTCTTTTTGGATGTCACATGAAGAGAAATAATCAAGGACTGCTACTCTAGCCATGTAGAATATATGATGCTGGGTCGATGGCAATGTTGTAATCTAAGCCCATAGACAATATTACATTTCTGACAATTTTTAAATCTTCATAGTTGAAGCACAGTTGAAAATCTGTGCTTAGAGCGTCTTGGGGAAAATTTTACAAGAAAGAGCAAATGAGTAGGACAGTAACAGTCTGAATCCTATGCTTGCAGAGAGGGAGAGCATAAAATGCAGGTAACCTTGGATAATGTGATCATGAGCTGATACAGTTAGGTTGAATTCTAAGAAAAAAGGAAAATTCTATTAGCAAATGACCTTTAAGAAAGGTTTTCAACAAGCTTTTGTACTAATTGAAAAAAAAATCCGTGGTAACACAATTATAGGGGCAAAGGAGTCTGAGAGCTGGACATTTATTTAGGGAAAAATGTTAGAGGAACTATTTGCGTTCACAAGGAGATGAGAGAGGTGTAAGAAAGAGGCAAAGAAATATGACCTACGTAACAATCTATACTACAGAGTAAAATCAAGAGACTGTTACTTAATTATAGGTATTAGTTCAGGTTTCTAAGGAGGAGGACAGAGAAATAGAAAAAAGAGATGTGCATTGTAGAAGACAGTGATAAATTATTTAAAAAAAGAAAAATAGACCGCAGAGTCAGGGGAGAGGGAGTTAATGGGATATTCTCCCCCTCGTAAAACGAGAACAAAAATGGGACTGTAATTTCTCCCAGGAAGGATGGAGGATTTACATTTTGGGGGGGGAGAGGTTTAATTTAAACATGCTGATGTGATTGAGGATTTTCTCTCTCAATTATGTAATCAACAAATAATTGATGACTTCTTGCTTGGTGCAGACACTCTGCTAGGTGCCAAGGGGGTATGTGGGTGGATAGTGGGGTCCCTACTCACATTTGTTCTCAAGCTCCTAGAAAAGCCAAAGATCATACATATAAATACATAGAAAACAAAGCAATATGTGGTAATAAAACAAGAATCCCAGTGGAGGGTTAAGTTATTTCCTATTTAAGTAGACAGGAGCAAGTTCATTTATTTATTCAATCTTTCAACAAATTTTTGAGTAACTATAATATAGTCACTCAGTGCAGTCACTCAGTGAAGAAGGTAGACCCAGACCTTTCCTCATGGAAGGCCTTGTGATTTTGGGAAGAGTTTCCTGACAGTATATTTCTTGGGAAATTTGTATGTTTTTCTGAATCATGAATCATGAGAAAAATCAGAAGATAAATTGGGAAGATGGGGAAAATCTGTAATTCTCCTATGAGAATTAAAACTTGGCAATCATCATAGAGACATTACTGGTCTGAAGGAATGCGCTTATGTCCAGTCAAAAGCAAGAGCAGGAAATGCTGACACATGGAGTTGAAGGTTAAGGTCAGTGTTTCCAGAACCGGAACAGAGCACATAGAAGAGAATTGGTCAGTCTGGCTAATCAGTCAGTCTGACTTTCAGCCATTGCCATGTATTAAGTATGTGTTGCTGGCCCCATCTGACACTAACGGAACTCATTCTTGCAGATAAAATAATTCATAACATATAGTATACTTTATACAAATCCTATGATTGGTATTCCAAGAAATAACAACGTTTGGGGACAAATTGTCCTTAATTGGCAATTTCCACATGTGATTCTGTTGAGCTGGCTAGGAGATCTGAATGATACATTGTTTAAATTCTATCCTGTTAGGTTCACTGATTTTTTCTACTGTTAGAATATTGGTTAGAGGAGACAGTTCCCAAGTTACAACTACCCCATTGGTGATGGAAACCTGCAACTTGAAACAGAAATACATGCTGTCTATCTGCATGTGTTTTTGATCAAGTCCTTTTGTGCTTCCCAGCACCCTGAGTTCAGCTTACACTGCCATGGAACCAAGCTCAAGGGCCTCCAACTTAACATTCATCTTTGCTTCCCATTGCCCACTCTCGCTCCCTTTTCATTTACTCTGTGCTCTTTGTCACTTTATGCCTTCCCTTCCAGAAACACCCCACATGTTTAAGACCTCTCCTACTTCTGCCTGGAATGCTTCTGCATTCCCGCTCTGGCCCAGGCTTCATATTTGCCTGTCTGGAGCTTCCTGAAGGCCTGCTTGCCTGTCCTTTAAGTTTCAGTGTATAAGCCCAGCCTTCCCATGAAGGCTTCCCAGATCCCACAGTCAACATTAGTCCCTTTCGTCTTCTCATGGCGATGGTCTCTCCTCTTTATGATACGTGCAGTTTCCTTATATCATATTTTTTGACTCCCTACCAGATGTTAAACTCCTCGAGGCAAGTTATATCCCTTCAGCTGGCACAAAACCTGGCAAAGGGGAGGACCTTGGAAAATGCATGTTGACTGGAATAAATCATGCAATTACTGAACATGATGATATTGACTAATTGAATCGGTGAATGACTGAAGTAGACATAGAGTAGTTGATGACAAGCACCTTGTTTTTAAGACATCTAATCCTTTTGCCCCAGCGACCCTAGCTCAACCAGGATATAGAGTAGGTGTTCAATGAGTGCTTGGTGGTTTTTAACTGGCAGCAGAGTCTGTCAGTGTGAGCACTAACATTTCAACACCTCCTCTGAGCTTCTGCTCCAAGGGAAACTACATTCTTTATATCTGGGCACATCCAGCTGGCACATTCTCCTGCTGCTGCTGCTGTTTCCCAGCAGCACTAACCAGCCGCAATTCGAGAAGTTGGGCTGCAGGCGCCTTTAACGCATTAGTTATGCTCGCCTAGCTTGTGATTGCCTCATTCCAACTTGCTACACCCAATATCGGCTTGCATGTCTTGCTGTTGTCCAAGTTGGCCACATCACTTGTGCTGTGATGAGTGTGCCCCTGGGCCCAGATGCCTGGCCTTATGCCAAGACTTTGTTGCTGGCGAGCTGGCCTCTCTGTTTAACCTTTCAGAGGTCTTGCAGGTGTTGCCGAGCTCAGTGCTCAAAGAGGCGGCAGTGTAGACTGAGCAGATCTGGGCTTCACAAGTGAACCATGTGCAGTTGTTGCTTTACAGACTGTGAGTCTGAGCTGAGCCTTGATGCTGAGGTGACATCACATTGTCACTGCCTACCGCCCTTGAGTCATGCAGTCTTCGTGAGTGGCACTCAAGTTCCTTAGAGATTAATGGATCAATGAACAGTGTGTGGTCTGAGCAGCCCCATTAGGGAATACCTTTCACCTCTGTACTGCCAATGACATTCTTTGGCCTTGTCCAGATTTCTCTTGGTATATATTGGACTAGAATTTTTCTCAATTTGTGACTTGCTATCAGCCCATATATGGGTATATAATTGAATTACTTTTTATTTTGATTTTTAATTAATAGATATATTAGATTATCTAATAAAGTTAAATTAAAATATCATACATGTAAACCTTTGAGTAAAAGGATGATTTCCATAAGCCACACAAGAAAACCTGTGTCAGTGCTGAGGCACACTCTCTTTCTCTCCAGAAGGAAGCAGTACACCAATGTTGAGGGGCACTTCATATATATCATCTCATTAATTACATTATTAATTTACATTGATTACATTATTCCAATAACATGAGGCATTACACTCATTTTAAAGATAACAAAACCAAATCTCAGAAATTAAAGATAACACAATTGAGTCCCACTCAGATGGCAAGAGAAGGAATCTGTATTCAAGCCTTGGATGGTCTAGCTCCGTGCGTGTGTCATGGCCTCTCCTTTATGACTGCAAAGGGTGCTCATTATGTGGGGGCACTTATAGGTAAATTTCTCAGAAAACTATTTTCTGCTATTAATTGTTGATGGATTCGCTAACATACCATGGACTCCAGGTCCTCTGTGATTTGGGTGGTGGTGTTTTCTGTGCCTGAAATGTGATCTCTGTTCATTTCCCTTGTGAACCCCTTCTCACCTTTAAGATCCAGCTCAGACCTGACCTTTTGTTTGAAGCATTCTTTGACCCATACCCCATTTTTTTCTTTACAGTTTTATTTCTTGGATTTCAAAAAATTAAGAGAAATATGCACCCTTTTCAAGTAGTAAAATAATACAAAGATTTATGAATAGATTCTGCCCTCCACCCCTCCTCCATTTCAGTCCCTTTCTGAAGTAACACATTGGAAAAAAAATAATTTTAAACTTAAAAAGTATAATGACCATATACTCTTTATCCAGATTCACCGTTTTTTAACATTTTGTGCATTTGTTGTATCATTCTTCCTCTCTCTCCCTCAGTGTATAAGAATATCATTTGTTTTCTGAAGGACTTGAGAGTGGGGTGCATAATTCATGCCCCTTTACACCTTAATAATTTAGTTGTATATTTTCTACAACCAAGGCCATTAGTCATCGTTTCTCTTTAGTCTCCTTAAGGTTAGAACAGTTACCAATCTTCGTTGTCTTTCTATAATATAATTTATAGCTTTAAAAATAATTTAAAATTTATATTAGAATGTATATAATATAAAATGTTATTAATATATTTATTATAATATTGCAATTGGTAATGTTATATAATATATGCTATATTATAAAATTATAATTGTGTAATACATATAATTTATCACATGACTTACATGTATATTAAAGCTTTATAATATATAAAAATAATATGAATATATTATATGTAAATACATGATATGGAGATATGTAAAAATATAAAATATATAAAAATGTGAATTCATATAGAGTACATTATGTAAGTATAATATATTGTATCTATAATATATAATAATATATGCAATTATATTATGATATATTAGATTATATTATGTGCAGTTATATTATGATAGATTATAATATGAATTGTAATATAATTAGTAAATCATGATATAAATTAGAAGGTATTAAAATATAATAAAATTTAAATGTTATAAAATAGGAATATTAGAATTATTATACTTTATACTTTATTAATATAAAATATATACTTATTTATGTATTTTCATATACCAGCCCTCATCCCGGGTTTGTCTGGCATTTTCCTGTGATTATGTTCAGATTATGTATCCCTGGCTGGAGTACTGCTCCAGTGATGCTGTGTCCTTCCTTCTCAGGGTAGCACGTGCAGAGCCTGCCACATCCATTTGCCCTTTATTGGTGAAGTTAAGTTTGATTCCCCAGTCAAGGTGTAATGCAATGTAATGCATTCTCTCCATAGTATAGTTTTTCTTTTTCTTTTTCTTTTTCCAGCTAGTAAGTAATTGGTGAGGAAATGGTTTGAAGCCCTGTGAATACTCTGCACCTCATCAAGCCTTCACACCCCAGATTTAGCATCTATTCATGTCTTGTGATGTTTCTTGCCCAATCCAATCTTTACTCTTCTGGAAGCAAAGTGGCTATTTTCCAACTGTGCTACTCCGTCTGCATTCATTAACTGGCTTTTTAATGTAAGGAAGAGCTCTCCGTTCTACCCATTCACTTGCTTACTGTCTGCATGTATGAACTTATATATGCATTCATTCATTTATTCATTCATCCATCCATATATTTATTATCACTGTGCACTCATGGATGTCTGTTTTTTTCAATGGTTTATAATTTATTACTGTCCTATTTATTTTGATGTTCAAATCGTCTCATATTTGGTCAGTGGGAGCTCCCTGTCACTGGCTTCTCTGTCCTTTTGACATGTACCTGTCATTTTTTGAGCACTTTCTTACTTTCTAACATGAGAAGATGATCCTAGACCCTCTTGTATCTCCTCAGCTTCAGCCCTGGAGTCAGCTACCTCTCCAGGGAGCCCATGTTCTCTTTAGTGGCGGGATGGCTTGTGGTTAGTGCCAGGATGACTCTTTACTCCTGGAGTGTCTTACTTTTAGGCCCTTTCAATGACAGAGCTAAGAAACACACACACACATGCACATACACTCACATATAGTGATCATGAGTTCATACTCTGAAGAATTATTGATTCTTCAACTTACTTTTTTCTAGTATTCTGTAAACATCCTCTGCTCCGTTAGCACTCCAGTACCCAAAGACTAGCATAGTATCTAACATTCAGTCATTGTTAAAAATATTTTTGAATAAACCAATAAATGAATAATCTTTGATGCTGTGAGTGGACCTTCTATAGTCGAAAGGTTAAAAATAAAGTTAAACATGAAAATCTTGCCCTTTTTTTCCTCTTTTCCTCCTTCTAGAAACTTACTGTTAAATATATATGATAACCAGAGGTGGTTCATATATCATGTATCAAAGTTTGAAGAACAATATATCTTCTATCTTATTATACCTTTCATTCACTTAAAAATGAGTACATTTCCATAATGGTTCTCTGCATGTAATTTTCTGAGGTTTTTATTTTTTATTTTTTCACGTTTCCTAGGTGGCTGGAATTGTTGGCAGAGCTGACGTGTTAGCGTGCCTGCTGTTCCTGTTGGCCTTTCTCTCCTACAATAGGTATGTGGGGCTGAGAGTGCCATTCTGTGTGACTACAGTCATGCTGTCTCCTGGGAATTTCTGCCGTGTGTGTGTGTGTGTGTGTGTGTGTGTGTGTGTGTACACTTTGAGTATCTGCCTGAGAGAGAGGGGAGCTTCCTGGCAGTCAGATACTCAGTGAGCTTCCAAGAGACCTGGGATAGGAAACCGCTCCTTACCAAATACTAGGCTCTTCTCTCTTCCAGCCACATTCTGAACATGTCATAGACTTTTAGCAGAAGCACTGCTCTCCCAGTGCTGGGATGGCAAGCTCTTGCTTCTTGATTCCTCTTACTTGTAGTTTCTTACTGAGACTGGAATTTGGAATCTTAGCTCTGAGCCAGAATATACTGGGTGTAGTCCTCTCTTCTATTTCCTATGATTTGTGTCATTTCTCCTTTTCATTTTGGTTATAAATTTTTTCCCTCTTTATTATCCTCACTAAAGTAGCTCAGAGCTTAAAATAATAAGGCTGAGTTGAAAGTAGTATTTCCCAACTGTGGTTTTCCAATTTACACATCCTTTCATCAGAATACAGAAGCCAGAAGCTCCTTGCTTTGGGAGACTGAAAAGCAATAAAACAGTTTCCCATTATATTGCCCCTCCCCCCCCCCCCCCCCCCCCCCCCCCCCCCCCCCCCCCCCCCCCCCCCCC